TTTTATCCTTTTAAGATTGAAACACATTCTTTCAGGCGTACTTGTAGAAACAGGAAGTGTGCATATTATTTTTAAAATAAAATGTACATTTGGATAAATATTGGCATTACACACATGTAATGCTTCAATTGCAGTTTTCGGAATATTGTTTATTCGCTCAAGTGTTATCTTCAACAATTTCAATTCTGCAATTGAGTTGTTCACATCCAAAGAAGATGAATAAAATTCAAGTAATTTTCTAAATGATACCTCCTCATTAGAAGTTAATGTATAGGAAAATAGACATTGAAATCCTATAAAATATGACATATATACATTATACATAAACCATTAAAGGTTGAATTTAATAATATAGATTGATTATATGAATATTTTATTTCAGTGATTTGTTTTTAATTTTATAAAAACTAGGTACCAATTTAATTAAAAATGATAATAATGATTTAATTTAATATAGATACCTTTATAAATTTCAGAATGGATTGAAAATTTTTCTCCTAGTTGTATAAAAAAGTCCAGATAGGGTATAAATACTGACACTTTGTGGTATTCTTCAACACTTAAATTGGGATCTGGATTTGCTTGATTTACTTGTCATTTAGATATTCTTATAGTACTCAAGTCTATATCTATAATTACTGACATCTCCTATTACAAATGTCAAATATAAACATAATTCTTTTCATATAATTTATATAATAATATACTTTATTTTAGTATACTTACTTTTGCAAGCAAAAAACAATTTGTGGAACTCAGTATCACAATTTAATCTGATATTTTTTAATACATTTATAATATCTTCAGCAAAGCTTACTGCTTCTCTAAAATCAATTTGTTATTTTTGTAGCAACTTACACAATGGTAAACCAAAAGAAAAAACCACCTGAAAAAATATTTTATTATAAAATAAAATAAATTATATTTATTAATTACTATTTACTTGTATAACTTGTAAGGATATAAGAAATTCTGAATCAATAGCTTTTAATAGTATATTAGCTTCCGTTGCTGTGGAATCATTCCAATTAGAAATATTTTCTAATGATTCAACTATAAATGCAAATAATTCAATGAAATCTGTTACCGCATCATAACGCTGCACCCATCGTGTAGCACATAACCTTTTTAAAGTTTTAACCTTAGGATCCTCATAACTATTTTCAATGTTTGTTAAAAGAACATTTTGGCGTTTTGGTGTATTAAAGAAAACATAGTACTTTTCGATAATACCTAAGCAGTTTCTAATTGGTTGAATTCCACTTGCAGTTGATACTACTAAGTTCAGAGAGTGTGCTGCACAGTGCACATATATAGCTTTAGGATATTTTTTTTGATAATTGCCTGAACACCTTTATATTGGCCAGACATGTTGCTTGCACCATCATATCCTTGACCGTATAGGTAATCTAAATTAATCTCACAACTATTCAGACCTATTTACAAAATATAATAACCATACAATTATTAATTTATTAAAAACATTATATCATTTTAATTTACTGTTGAGTATTGATTCAGCTAAATCACAACCAGTTAAACTGTTAATAGTAATCAATTTCAGGAATCTCTACTGGATACAATCGTTATCGTCAACATATCGAACACACATAGCCATTTGTTCAATAGTAGAAATATCAGTAGTCTCGTTAACTAAAACTGTGAAACATTTTGAAGCATTTACATTCTTAACTATTTTTCACAGCATAATGTCCCTACATGCTGTTATGATTTCATTTTGGATTTGAGGAGTTAGGTATTTGTTTCATCCTTCATTTGTAATGATATGCTTTAACATCTCATTACCATATGTTCTATACTTTAATATGGCTCTAAAGTTGCTTTGATTAAATGAACATTCCACTATAATATGAAAAATTGATATTAAGGTTGAGTTGAATGGTAGCATTATTATATAATATGTAATGCTATAAAATTATTTAATTTTAAACATACTATCAATTTTTTCCATAATCTTTATGCCCTCGTAGAGCAATCTCTTGACGACCA